AGCGCAGCGCCATGCCGAGCCAGGAAAGCGGCGGATCGCGACGCAGCAGCAGCAGAAGCCGGCACCATGCGCCTGCCGCCGGGGGAGACCGCGCTGCTGCCCCCTCTGCGCCCTTCTCTAGCCGCCGCCGCCACTTACTGCCTGCTGGTCCTGCAAGTGGACGCCTATTTTGGGTCAGCGGCGTTTTCTCCTTTTGACGCGGCTTCTTTCTTCGGACGTGGGCGCCTCTCCTCTAATTTTCGATTACATCTTTCCTACGCAGGTGGTCTCTCTTCCCCCTCCCTCTTCGCTTAACTTCCGTTTCTGTACCCTTTTCGTTCTGTATTACTTTTCTATTTTCTTTCCTCTATTTTTTTTTTTTTTTTGCCTTTCCCTCTTCTTATTCTGGACGATTCCCACTTCTTCCTTTGTCTCTCCTTGGATTTCCTCCCCTCCTGCTTTTCTTCCATAATCTTTCGCCACTTTCCAAACGGTCTCTTCCTTTTTACTTCTTGCTCTCTTTTGCTCCGTTTGCTTTCAGGTGGCGAACCTGAGCGGCCTGAACAGGTGCTGAGCTGACTTCCGACGCGACAGTCAGCACGCCTAAAGTTGTCCTGTCCCCTTCTGTCCTGTTTGTCTCGAACGATTCATACCCCTCTCTCTCCTTCTCTCTTTCCCTTTGGTTTTCTGCAGTCAGGCACGCCAGTCTGCTTGGTTGCACGGGTGCAATCTTAAACGCTGCGCTGGGATTGCGGGTCTTTCTCTTCAGAGCTTTATGCTTTGCAGAAAATTGCTGTATCTTAACTGCCAGCCAGCTGCATTGCCGGGCTTACGGTTATACTGCGGATCCTGCACAAAGTCAGCCCAAATGTGGGGGAACCTTACAGGGGATGGCGTCAGTTCGACTTGATGGGGGTGAATCCTTCCATCCTCCTCTGCTGCTCTCCAGACTGTAAATGTTCTTTGCAGCGGATCCGCTGCGAGCTCAGAGCTCTTGCAGGTGGCATTTGCTGGACCGAAGGCTTTATGGGAGACACGGGGCAAGACCCAACCATACAAATATTGCAAGCAATTTTAGGGGCATAGGTGAAGGTTTTCATACGCATTTCTCAATATAGGTATGCTTACATATGGATATCAACCTTTAAAGATTCTGGCATGTTCGGTATTTCATTTCTGTGATTTGGAAGCTGCGTTTCATTTAAACTTGGCTTTTCATTGTTTTTTCCCCAAGGTGCAGAAAAATCTCCCATGCCCTCCAGGTTTTGGAAGTTTTGGTGAATATGCTCACTGGAATAAGGAGCAATTTGGTCCACTGTGAAGTCTATCATTTAGGTTGATCTGCATGTGTATTTGCTGGGAGTTTTAGAATTGGAAGGGAGGATGGGGAAGTTTTTTGATTAAATATACAACAAGTGGTATCTTTTACAAGTTGATGCAGACTCAGGCATGCTTAGACTAGTTCTACTGAAATCATTGAGGCACCTCTAGATTAGTTAGAACCCCTTGTGATTTCAGAAGATCTCTAAACATGCTGAAATCTGGGTCTAAACGTATGTTTCTACATCTTTTTATTCTTCATTAGAAACTAGAGACCATGACATAATTCAATCTCAAGAGTTTGGGGTTATTCATAAGTTGAACCTTACAAGGCGTGTTTGGGTGCATGTATGTTCAATGCAGGTATTTGAAATTCTGGGTCTCTTAAGATTTGAATTTCAAGAGATTGTATTTGAATAAACGCTTGCATTCCAGCTCAAGGCGACAATCACGCAGATGCTTACCTAAAGGTAAACTCTGTTTTAATCAGTGAGACAGACACAAAACACAAATTCTTTCATTGGTTTAAATGCCTAATTCTGTCTCAGTACTTCATTTGAACAATGCAAGTATTGCTGTTTTTTTGTAAACCAGGGATCAGAGTTCAGTTTGCCAATGGTGATTAAAGAGCAGACCATGATGCAACCAGTGTTTTTGTCTGCTCTTGGTTCTTTTATTCTATATTAATTTTATCCTTCTCTGTCTTGGCAGTTTGTATGTTTGAATGCAATCCTCCAATTCCCCCCAACTATTCAGGTGCTTTTTTACATATGCTGAGAAGTGAGTTTGCCTACAGAAGCAATAATGTCAGGGCAGTTTTCTGACCTTCTTGCAACTGGTATGCTTACTCAGTAGTTTATTCAGGAAACCATAGTTAAACAAACCATAGTTTAGTATAACTAGGGTTTCCTGAATAAACTACAGTTGGTTGAGTTCTTGGAACATAGTAAGACATAAACCCTAATATACAAACCACATTGGTTGGGTTCACACAGTGTCAAAAATTAAGCCTCATTGTGGTTTAGTGCAATGTATAAATCCAGCCAGTGATTATTTCTGGAATTCACATAAATATAGATTGGGGTTCCAGAAGGCTTTGTTATGTACTTGGAACATAATATACAAACCACATTGGTTGGGTTCACACAATGTCAAAAATTAAGCCTCACTGTGGTTTAGTGCAATGTATAATTCCAGCCAGTGATTATTTCTGGAATTCACATAAATATAGATTGGGGTTCCAGAAGGCTTTGTTATGTACTTGGAACATAATATACAAACCACATTGGTTGGGTTCACACAATGTCAAAAATTAAGCCTCACTGTGGTTTAGTGCAATGTATAATTCCAGCCAGTGATTATTTCTGGAATTCACATAAATATAGATTGGGGTTCCAGAAGGCTTTGTTATGTACTTACCCTGTTCCTTAGGGTTTAAATGATCCAAAAGTAGATATTTCCCACATATAACTATGGTATGTTTTCCCACTGTTTCTTCCGTCTTTTTTTCTTTCCACAAAATGTCTGTTAAGGTGGGAAAAATGGAATAGCTGTACAATGCTGCCTGATTGGCACATTAGAACTTTAGGGATGACAACCCAATACCACTAGATGTTATGAAGTATTGGTCCCATAATCCCTGCCAATTGACCATTCTGATGGAAGTTGTAATCTAAAAGATCTGGAGAGTACCCGATCATTGATGTCTAGACTAAAGCGCTTCAGAGGTCCTTATTAGTACTGTGACTCTTACTGTTCATTATTGAGAGTTATAGAAACCAATACACCTACTGTTGAAAAGCTTTGAAGAATTAACTTCAGAATTTTTTAAAATCCTGAGTCTTGAATTCTAAAAGTTAATTGGGATTTTGAGACTTGAGTTGTTTTCAGAGCCTGTGCTCAGTTCTGGATAAAGAAGGGGGTGGGGTGGGGGAAGCTCTGAACTTGTGCAAATGCTTTTCCTTATAGGCAAAGGGCTACTAAGGGCAGGCTTGAAATGCTGGTGTTCTTTGGAATACAAATAATCCTGTTGGAATCCCAGACCAGGAAGCAGACTCAATGAATATGTACCCATATCTGAAATCACTAAGGCTTAAGATAGTAATTTACGTACGTTCTATGGATGTTAATGAGTGTATTCCCATTAGGACCAAATCTGGGTCTGACCTAAAAATACCAGCATTACCATGCAGAATTTTACAGAGATGACTGCTTCTCTCCTCCCAACAGGTGTTCATTGCAGTCCTAGTCAAACCTTACAGCAACCTAGGTACCCCCTAGATTGGCGTTTCTCAACCTTGGCAGCTTGAAGATGTGTGGACTTCAACTCCTAGAATTCCCCAGCCAGTAGCTAGGCTGTCCTTTTAGCATCTTCCAGGTATGTTGGGACTGCAGGGTTTGACATGCTGGCTGGGAATTCTAGGAATTGTAACAGATTGAAGCAGGCTGGCCTCGGAGGCCTCTGTCCCAGCATCTCTTGTCGGGGATGGTGTATCTGCCTCTGCCTGTATTTCGGATCAGAATGAGATCACAGTGAGCTTTTTCTCCTTTCAGGAAGTGTACACACATGTCTCTGCTTTACCAAGCAAGAGGTGATACTCTGTTTCCCTCCCAGCTATCACTTCCTTAATGCAAAACAAATATTGATTATTACTTTAGGTGGATTTGGTTGCTTAAACAACTTAAGGGAGCCGCAATCTTGCAACAGCTGCATTCCTTCAGTCGATAAAACATTTTACCCCAGTTTCTTTATGGAACTGTTGCATATTTTGAGTGAGTTTCCTGTTTGCTGTTACCAGCCTTCCAGTGCAGGGACCAGTCACAAATAAATGCTGGAATTTCTAGATTGTACTTTCTGTTCCTGAAAGCTAATGAGTAGGCTTGTTGCTGCTCTTTGTTAGCGCCAGCCAAGTTGGATAGTTTTAAAAGTGAAGCTGTAGGTGCAAGGAAGGTTAGGCTCTCTGTGGGTACTCATGACTGTTTACTACCTGCTGAGTCATAGGCAGCTTGGCTTAATTATTGGTTGCTGGGAGTTGCTGGGAAGTCTGTGAGCTTCCCAAACACATCCAGTTGGCCACTGTGTGACAGAGGATACAAGTAGTTAAGTCAGGGGGGATAGCTACCTTGGGGGCCTGCAAGTACTGGCAGCTCAGGTTCTTCCTTGCCCTGTGACTTCAAGAAACCTGGTTGTGCTGAGCTCCAGTAGGAGGTGCAGTGGACAACCAGGACCGATGGAGAAAGGAGCCACCTTCTCCTCCTCTAATGCTCTATGGGCTGCCACGGCTTGATCAATAGCAGTAGTGCCATCTCCAGCCTCCCCTTCCTCCAGTAATCAGTTGGATTGGCTGGAAGGGGCAAGGAGAGCTGGACTGTGCAATGGAAGTGGAACTTGTTGGATGATCTGGAGGAGTTGGCAGCAGAGGAGGAGAGCAACACATCTACATTTTGTTCTAAAACCTTGACTCAGAGTTTTCTGGACACATGGGGGCGGGGACTGAGGCTGACGGGGGAGATGATGTAGAGAGTAAGGAAGATGACCTTGACAGAGGTATGCAAGATCCGTTACTAGGGTGATGAGGGATGAAAAATATTTTAAGTCTACAACAGACTGGGTGCATAATTGCCTCAGGCAGACACCACCTTAATTCACTGAAGTATAAAAAGGAAGAAGAGGTACAGCACAACCACATTTGCAAGATTCTATTGTTATAATCAATCTCAATAAAAGTTTTAGTCATCCTGTAGAGTTGATTTCTTGGTCTGGTCTACCTAATGGGGCTGACAACCAGACAGAATGCTAAACTACATGAACCTGATATGTTCTGTGGGGCTCTGCTGCTTGAGGATGAAGAGAGTTGTAGTTCAACACATCTGGAAGTATTAGAATTTGTCCCAGAAACATCAGCTCAGGGTTCTGAGCCATATATGAATGGATTTCCCAACAGAGAAGTGGATGACAGCGAAATTGAAAGCTACTGATGAAATGTCCCTGCAGATAATTAGAAAAGCATTTTTTAGAGTAAGGAACTTGGGGCAAGATGTTGGAAATTAGATTTAAGTAACAGGACTCATTGGACAGAATTTTATGTATTGGAGGGGCTCATAAATTTGTATTTCAGTTCTATTTCATCAAGTACAGTTAAGACAGGTGAACCAGGGCCAATGTCCTATTAAGCAATAATTTCCTAATATTTTCAAAAACTGGTGCCACAGCAACTATTTTCACCGTTTAATGTACTGAAAACATTCAGCTTCATTTTAATATTTCATAATTTTAATAGAGTCACTTTGTGTGAGATGGGCGGCTATATAAATACGATAAATATTATCCAAATTTGTTTCATTATGCCTCTACAGAACAAAACTTTCACTCGTTGTCTTGACTTGCCTGCTAATCGTAGTTCACCCACTTTTTGTTCCAATCTTTGCCATGCTGTTGCTTTGGTCACTGTAGATGTTAGTACGGTAGCATAGCTATCACCCTTGTTACTTGCTTAATTGTTTGTTTGTTTGTTTATTTAGCAAATTTATATAGTTGCCCATCTCACAAAAAGTGACTCTGGGCGGCTTACAAGCAGAATAACAATTAAAACCATATCACAATATAAAAAACATGAGAAATAACAACAAAAATAAAAACATAAAGGAACCGCCCAGAGTCCCCCATTGTGGGGAGATGGGCGGGGACAAGTCTACTAAATAAATAAATAAATAAATAAATAAAAAGATAAAAGAACCCCAAGATAGTGGGAGGACAACCATCATTTACCCTCACTCAATCACTTTGTGGGCTCGCCATGAGATCCCCAGGGTTGATGGAAGAACCACATTTTCAAGGCTTTCCAGAAGGCTAACAGAGACGGGGCTAATCTCACCTCAGGGGGAATGATGTTCCTGAGGGCAGGGGCTACAGCAGAAAAGGTGCGTCTCCTTAGCTTCTCAGCAGATGGGACCCAGAGCATACCTCTTCTGCTGGACCAGATGGGACGGACGTAACCAGGAAGAGACGGTCCCTCAAATAACCGGTCCCATGCCATGTAAGGCTTTAAGGTCAAAACCAGCATCGTGACTTGCACCCGGAAGCAAACCGGCAACCAGTGCAGCTCATGGAACAGAGGTGTAACATGTGCCATTCTAGAGACACGCATAACTGTCTGCGCAACTACATTCTGCAGCAGCTGAAGCTTCAGTGCTGAAGCTCGATGCTCTTCAAGGGCAGCCCCATGTAGAGCTCATTGCATTAATCCATTCTGAAGGTGACCAGGGCATGAGAGACAGTGAGTAGAGCCTCATGGCCCAGAAAGGGGTGCAGCTGGTACACAACACGAAGCTGCACACATGTTTAATGAGCAACCAGTGATTAATCTCTAAATCAGCTTTCCCTACTCTGGGCCACAGTTATGTTAGATTATATTTCTCATAATTCACAACCAGCATTAGGAAGACATCTTGGAGGTTCAGCCAGTCCCAATAGCTCAGGATCTAGGGCAGTTTTTGTCTAATCTGAGAAGTACTATTATCCAAATAATTGTATAAATTTATGGTTATAGGTCAATCACAGAAAGTGTATGTTGCATGGTAGTTTTCCCCTCCATGTATAATGAATCTCCCAGTGATTTGGAAATTACTGTCTTCTGTTGAGGCCCTTCTGTTTCGCTTCCAAACCGATTGGAATTCAAGGTGCTAACAGGAAATTAGAACAGGGCAAGTATTCCAGGAACCTCAGCTGGTATGTGGGTGCTGCACTGACACAGAGTTTGTATCTTGATGAAAGTGCGGCCATTTTGTTCTCTGTTGGTTATTTGGAAATTTACTTACTTAATCATTAACCAACATCGTGCATTGGCCGGAAGAAGACCTCTGGGTGGGTGAGAGGGTTGGGGCATTCCACTCTTGGTGGGCGATAAACATCTCTCCCTTTGCATGTTCTCCCAAGACTGGAGGCCTTTTGGCTGCCTGGTGCTATGCGTATGCATGCTTGATAGATCACAGGTTCTGATGTACAACCTGTCCTGTAAATGAACTCAGGCCAGGTCCAGCAAATGCCCAACCTCAGGCCTGGGTTACATACAGGTGGCAGAAGCAAAATCTTGAGGGCAGTCGCCACCAGTGGCGTGAGTAATACTGGAAGAGATTGGTATGGAGTGATGATGGTCTGGATGCCAGATAAATTATATAGTAAAAAACAAGAGATTTGTGTTCACTTTCCTGGCAGTTTTTCTCTCTTTTTTCTTTTACTAATAGGTGACCTTGGAGAGTGGGGTTGAGTCAGAAGATGCTTGACCCTTTTTTTTAGAGTCAGGATCAACCCACCTGCACTCAGGGTGTTTCCTACCCGTTAAAACAAGATTGTTGGAGGAAGAACATATAAGGATAAAATCATCAGCACCCTAAGGCTGCATTTCAGCTTAGGGGGAAAAAATGGAAAGAGGAGGAAAAAGAAGAAGAAGAAGGTGGCTCATAGATGTGCAACATGGCTTGGAGTTTGGCCCTGAGTTATAAGTGTGATCGCAGTTGTATTCTCTTGGCTGTGATTTCTCAGAGGGGAGAACAAGCTACAGTGTGAGTCCTTGTTCAGGGGACTAAGCTTTGGTACAGTTTCTTTGGGATGTAGAAGAAGCAACAAGCGTAAAGGCATTTTAATATTATCCAAGTTTATTGTTTCTATAGAATGAAATGATCATGTTCATTTTATTGGGCATTGTTGTTTTATTGGGCACAGTTATCATATATGTATGTATGTATGTATGTATGTATGTATGTATGTATGTATATGTATGTATCTGGTTACAGTATAATTGAATAGCACTGAATGTAGACAAAGGGACAGCCTTTGAAATGATTAACACTCAAATATAGGCTAAATGCGTGGCTTTTGGAACTTTTTGTGTCACATGAAATCTTCCAGTGCAACTTCCACACAAATCCAATTAAAAAATGGGGTCTTTGCTATTTCTGACAGAGCCTAGTTTAATGGAAGTAAATGGAAGTGTTCTTTTGATAATTCATCTAGATCAGTGTTTTTCAACCTTAGCAACTTTAAGATGTGTGGACTTCAACTCCCAGAATTCAGTGCTGGCTGGGGAATTCTGGGAGTTGAAGTCCACACATCTTAAGGTTGCTCTACAGTGTAGTTTTAGTCACCCTTCTTTCCCCTATAAGTACTGCAGAGTACTATTAAGTATAATTGCAGCTTTCCTCCATCTGGGCCTTCCAGTTATGTTCATCTAAAGTTCCTATCACCTTCTATAGCTGATGTTCACCCTAGTGAGGAATGATTGGAGACTTTGTCTAATAGCTATAGAGGGCACTAACTAAAAGAAAGCTCTCCTAAAATCCATCCCAACATTTGTTTCCTGTTCAAAGTTTTTCTTTTACTGAAACCTTCTCCTAAGACGACCTTTTCGTAAAAGATATTTGAGTTTTGACCGCAGAGAAAAGGAAACCATCTCCTCTGTGTCAAAATGTAAGTAGTAGACTATTTGTACTTCAGCAGACTAAGTAAAAAATGCATATCTTCTACCAAATAAGCTAGTGGATGTTGGTGATCTGTTCTCTAATGTGCTTTGCTCCCCTAGGGTTGTAGGAAAACCATTTTCCTTGTGGGACCCAAGATGCTACACTGTGGCTTCATGTCCTCCTACAGCTATTTTTGGTATGGCATTAGGAGACATATTTAACTGCAGATATGACCTCTGACGTTTCTAATAGAGTTTAGTGTCTCCATTAGAGTGTAGGCACTTCTTTTTATCTTCCTCTAGCTATTTATACTGGAGCAAACAGTTCTAATAGAAAATGGGGCTCGAGGCAAGCATTCAGCCTCCAAATCTGTCTGATCATCTCACTGTAGATAATCTTGAAATCTTGCCAAGCTGTTTTTCTCTCCTGCAGGCAAAGCCCCGAGGTGCATCACTGCCATTCCATAGACAGAGCTTTTCTGCTTCTTTTGCTTTGTCTCAGATACAGGATTTTCAGTGGAACTGCTTCACGCCTTCTCCTACCACTCGTCAGTTGTATAACTGCTTTATTTCTCTACAGTCATCTCTAACTCAGACCTAAGCATATATGGGATAGACAACTGAGACGGGCATTGTATTGTATTGATCGTCTGTGAATGCCTAGGGGTGACAACACATCCTCTGGTTTATCCTGTCTCAAGCCAAGACTTACTTCTCTTTCTCTTAGCCTGACCGGAAAAGAAACCTTGACTCAGTTTCCCCTGCTGGGATCCTCAACAAATCCTGCCCATTGGAAGGCTCATTTGAAGCAATGTGACCTGCTGAGGCTTTCCCAGAAGCAAAAGAGGCTTTGTCGTCGGGAGCCGGGGCTGGCTGAGACTTTACGGGATGCCATTCGGCTCGGGGTCCTCGAGTGCCAGTACCAGTTTCGCAATGAGCGTTGGAACTGCAGCCTCGATGGGCGGGCGAACCTGTTGAAGAGAGGTAGATGGGAGCATCTGTTGCATTAGCTTCTGAAACTCCCCAAAAAGAAGCTTCTCCTCCCGCTTCTTTCTCTTTGGGCCCTCCAGTTCCTTTAGTCTTGCTAAGAAAAAAGGCATCATAGGAGAGAGAGACTAACCTTGTCAGTAAACCCATAAAAGTTACTAGCCTGCCATTTTTTAAACTAACCTAGTTACTTCTATTTCTGTTTTGACTGCAGAGAAGAGGAAGTCTTCTTCTCTGTGCCCAAAATATAAGTACAGGTAGTCCCTGGGTTACAGACGACCCATAGTTAAGAACGGAGCCTATTGTAGCAAAATTAGACTTAAATACACAATGATTTGAGTTAAATACACAATGGTTTGAATTAATTACACAATATTACTTATACAGTATTATACTACTGTTCTTGGTTACATACAAATTTGATTTAAGGACAGATCTTGGGAACGGAACTTGTTCTTAATCTGGGGACTACCTGTACTAGGCTGTTAGAACTTCAGCAGGTTAACTAAAACAAACCAACAAACATATATTTTCTACCAAATAGGCTACTGGATAGGGGTGACCTTTTTTCCCTCCTCTAGCTTGATGTGCTTCCCTAGGCTTGTAGGAGAATGATCTTCCTTCCTGGGCAATTATTATAGGAACTAGTTAGGCTGATGGGGAAGGAATAAAACAATCTACTTCTCCTTTGCCAGCCTGTGGAGTTGCCTGCATGGAATTCCTGCTCACTTCTGTTTCCAGATCGCTTGTTAAATATAACGTTGTGATATTCCAGTGTTTGCACTCAGGTATGCTTTGTTCCTAAAAGTATGCTAGAAATCGAGCACATTTTATTTCTATTAAACATTTTATACCAGTTTCCATTGTTCAAAGTTGTTTGCAAAGCAGTAGGATGTAATTTAAAATTTTTTTTTACAATAGCTAGTAGTCTAAGACTCCAATCCTATACACTGTTGCTTTGCAATAAATCTAGCTGAATGGAATTGGAGATACTTCTGAGAACACATATTATAGGATCGTGTAGCAATGTTCTTTTTAAAAAAGGATAGAGAAGCAAGACTTTGGACAAAATGTTAATAAAAGAATATGCCTTGTAAAAAAAATAAGGAAAAACATTTCAGATGTTCATTTCTGTTTCTAGATATTGATCAATAGTAAGATTCTGCTTAGAGTGCCATTTTGGTCTAGTGATTAAGGTGCTGGACTAGGAGTGGGGAAACCAGAGCTGTAGACTTGCCTTAGGCACAGACGCCAGCTGGGTGACTTTAGGCCACCTACTCTCTTTCAGCCTTAGGAAGAAAGCAATAAGAAACCAGTTCTGAAACATGTTGCCAAGAAAAACTGCAGGGACTTGCCCATGTAGTCATCAGAAGTCAACTCAAAGGCTTAAAAAAAAGGCGTCTGCTTATCTTGCTGGCAGACATTTAATTAAATAAATAACTTTCCAACAGAAAAAATAAATAACTCAGTTTGAAGAGCTAAGGGCCATGGTGGGCCTTACCTTTCTGACAGAAGGGAGCCCAGGCAAACATTAAGCCCATGCGGTAGCAGAACTGATAGGTCAGGTAGATGACTGTACCATAGTATGAGTGACTAAAGGACCTGTTCCTCTTAGTACACACTGCTAAAGTATAACTGCAGTCTGAAGGAGCAGAAGCCTGAGATGGAAAGCTACTTTATTGAAAGCCCATGTTCCAGAAGTGACTGAGATGTATGTGTAGATATCCAGGGGAATGGGACTGGGAGTGATGCATACATCATGACATCATCTCATGAGGAACGTGAATTATGTGCTGTATGTCATTTGCATGATGATATCTTGACATGTGTGACATCATCATAGCTTCTGCCAGATGTCTGTTGAGGCATGCAAATATTACAAGGGCTTCTTGCCTGCATCCCCACCTCCAGCTCAGATTTATTCAGTTCTCATAACCTGTTCTCCTCACTCCTGCTTGGCTTTGTTTTCCCAGGTTTCAAGGAAACCGCATTTCTCTATGCCGTGTCTTCAGCAGCATTGACTCATTCCCTTGCTCGAGCATGCAGTGCTGGGCGAATGGAACGCTGTACCTGTGATGATTCTCCTGACTTGGAGAACCGCAAAGCCTGGCAGTGGGGCGTGTGTGGTGACAACCTCAAGTATAGCACCAGGTTCCTGAAGAATTTCCTGGGCCAGAAGAAGGTTGGGAAAGATCTGAGGGCCAAGGTGGACATTCATAACACAAACGTGGGCATCAAGGTAAGGGTGGCGTTGCTGCAGGACCTGTTCAGGATGTGGAGAGAGAGAGATGGCAAATCTAAAAATTCTGATCTTTGTCACCATTCTGCTCCCACTGGGAGATTAGCTGGACTCCAAAATACCAGATCTGTATCTTTCTTGGCAGCAAACGGTCAAAACAGTGGTTTCCACAGTGACATTATACAAGTGATTATGCAAGCAATGATTTGAGGTTTCTAGATCTTAAGGCTGCAAAATAGCAAAAGATACATTGTAGAATAAACCAAGTATTTTTAATGAGGTGGGTCATTTCTTTCTCCCTGTTGATTCTGGCTCTTCTGACTACATCTTTTCAAAATCCTAAACTGGTAACTCTAATGCAAAGATTGGGTCAGAAATACACAATCAATGCTAGGAAATCCTCAAAAGCTTGCATGGATAGGGCTTGAGAAGTGGGGGAGAGGATAAATGCACTTGTGTACACTTCTTACGACATATTTTTGTCAGCCTGGCATCCTGCAGTTAAATTGGATTACAGCTCCTGTCATCCCACTTTCACTCCACTGGATCTTGATTTTTAAACTTGACTTGAACTGGATGGGCATTCAGAGAGAATGTAAAGCATATTTCAAAAAATATTCTTTCTATAAAAAAACCTGCAGCTCCCACATTTTCTTAAGAGGCATTTCCCTTGTTCTTCATAAGGGATGGTGTTTTCTACATGTGTGTGTATCATGTAAAAACAGGAAACATACTACTTGGTTCAGAAATATTTTCTTCACATGCAAATCTGATTGTTGGATTAATGATACATGCTTTAATCCCATAATCAGTACAGTCCTCTGCATGTCAACTCAGGAGTCGGATGCATCGATTCAGTGGGTGTTACTATCAGATAATCTGTGTACGGGATTGTAACCTAAAATAACGAAGAAGCAAGTAGTCACAACAGTAGCCTTGAATGATATGGATACTGTTTCTAGTTATGCTATGTTAATACAAAATGCTTTAGTAAAACTGATTTTACAGCCCCCTGACCTTGATTTTAAATCTGTTTTTAAACTTTGCCAGATTTTGATAATGTCGTCCATCCATCCATCCATCCATCCATCCATCCATCCATCCATCCATCCATCCATATATATACACACACACACACACACACACAGACACAAAGACATATAATTTTTATTAAATAAGCTTTTCCACAAAGTAAAGACAATA